CATTGAATTCCTTGATTATTTTTTTGGCTTTTTTTTTTTTTTTTTTTTTTGGTCTTTTTGAGACAGGGTCTCCCTCTAACCCAGCTGTCCTGGAACTCACTATGTAGACCAGGCTGGCCTTGAACTCACAGAGATCCTACTGCCTCTGCCCTCTGAGTGCTGGAGTTAAAGGCGTGTGTCACCACGCCTGGCTATGATTCTTTAAAATTCAGTGTCCTGGGTTATTTCTAGGGGGTTCTCCTTGTAGAACTCTTCTACAGGATTGGTGGGGTTTGGTGGTGATATAGTATTTTGGCTTTCCATTTTATTATTCTTTCGTTGTGGTTCTGGCATGTGAATTTCTTTTGTTATGATTCTGATATGAGAATTAAGTTGAAGTATGCTTCTGTCTGTATTATCCGGGTGCCTAGATTCTTTCTTTAATGGTTATGTAAAGCTGGTTGATACAGGGTACAGGTTCTTTCAGGTTTATTTTGGAGGGAACTGATTCCTTCATATCAGCTATTCAGGGGTACCTACCGAAGCCCAGTTCAGGTTCCAGTCAGGTACACTCAGGCTTCTTTCATCACATGGAGGCAGGATCCAGGGTCTCTCAGGTAGTTCTGTGCATTGTCATACCTATGGCAACAGGAGGCCAGAGGGCGGCCAGAACTTGGCACTCTCTGCTGAGATCCCAGCCTTAGCCTACCAAAGCCAGATCTGCCCTGGTTTCTTGGGAGGGGTCTCATAGAATCCCAGGGAGGGGGATGGTATGGCGCAAGTAGGGGAAGCTCACCACCAAGTGGAAGCAGGATCCAGGGGCTGTTAGGCTGTCCCCTGGGTTCTCAGGCCCTCTGGTAGTTGGAGGCCAAAGGGAGGCCAGAACCCCCGCACTCTTTCCCGGTTTGCTGAGCTGAGAGCAGCTACCCTGATGGAGGTCCGAACCCACCCTCTCAGGCTGTCCGCTAGGATCTCAGCCTTATCCTGCCAAAGACAGATCTGCTCTGTATATTATTTTTGTCTCATCCTTTATATATCATTACAAAGCTACGCAGACCTTCATCACTTGCTTAGGCTTTCTCGTTTTTCTGTTTATTTTGAAAAACATCTCCATTCCTATAATCCTTTTTACATCTTTTACATTCTCATTTTTTTAAATAATTATGAGACATAATAACATTAACAAATTTTTCATCTGTTGTGAAAGTTCTTTTCCTGGGGATACTAAACAATGTTTTTCCCCTTCTAAGGTTCTAGTATCAAACCAATGTTTGATTAAAGTTTTCCTGGGGAAACCAGTGAATTTACTGAGCTTACTTACAGAGATGACTGAAGGGTTACTGAGGTGTATGAGTGACCTGAGGGTGTGCACACTGGAAAGCCAGTAAATTGCTTTGTATAAAGTGGTATCTGTTTTGAACTGCCAGCATTCTAAGTTTTACCATAATCTACAAAAAAAAAAAAAAAAAAAAAAAAAAAAAAAAAAAAAATACTACTACTACTAATAATAATAATAAATAGCTATGCTTTTGTGTTGGGTAACAGAGTGTCCTGCTTTGATAATCTTGAAATTATAGGAATATTTTATAAAGCAGTGATATTCATGATCTTACTTTCCTCTACACTCCCCCACTTTTACAGAGCAAACTATTCATGGAAGGATTTAGAAGCTTGAAAGAAGGAGAGCCAGTGGAATTCACATTTAAAAAATCTTCCAAAGGCCTCGAATCAATACGGGTAACAGGACCAGGTGGGAGCCCCTGTTTAGGAAGTGAAAGAAGACCTAAAGGGAAGACACTACAAAAAAGAAGACCAAAAGGAGATAGGTAATCATATTGTTGGCTAATTTAGGAGTGTATTGTATTTGGAAAACACTTTTAAAGTTTCTTTATATCTTTATGTTATTGGATTTTAAAAATTCTAGCCAAAAGAAAATGCCACCACCATGTAGTTGACTAGGAATATCAAGAATGCAGTCTACTTTGCAGTTTGAATTACTTATCTTCAGTGTGCTGGGCTGCATTTAGCGTGAAACATCGAATAGAATAATCCTTCGGCTGCCATCACCAGACTGTTCTAAGTCCAGAGGTGAGGAGTTGAAATTCCCAGCAGACAGGGATGCCTCTCTGTACAGAATTTCCTAGTCCTCCGGCTGCTTTTTCAAATGAAAATATACTGATTGCTTTGTCACATGTCAAAAACCCAAACATTAAAAAAAAAAATGAAGGGGAAGAAATCACTTGAAATCCTAATTGCATGTGGAATCATAAAATATATGCTATTTTGAAATTTATGAGTATTTTATTGAATATATTAGACTGTTGTACTCCACTCATGAACATCTGCATAAATCTCCACTGTGCGAAAGTACCAAAAATTACTTTAAACAAGTAGTGCTACTAATGACTCTTTAGGCTGTTTTTAGTATTTTGAAATTAATAGCACTACTATATGAATGTGTACATTTTTTGAAATGTGATTATATCCTGAGGATAAATACTTACTGGAAATTCTAGAGCAAAGAATATGTATTTAAAACTTTTTGATACCTATTTCTGAACTGCTGTCAAAATAATTAGAGCAAAAAATATAACCACTTCAGAAGTGAGACAGCTCACTGAGCGTTATTTGTTTAATCTTTTCTAATTATGTAACTTAAGGAGATAGAGCTCTGTGTTTTCTTTACATTATTTGGCTATATTAGAGGTTAAATATATTTTTATAGAGGCATTTTATTTTTTTTTCTTCTATAGATTGCACATTTCTGGTCTTTTGACCTATTCAGATTTTTGTTTGTGGTTATTGATAATTCGTCATTATTTGGAGCAAGTGAAATATTTTTTACATCTTATGAAGTATATTTTGTCCTTAATAATACTGGTTTAAAAATATAATTGAAATTTTGAATTTTTATAGAAACAAGCCCATGACTCTCTGCAGAATACTGACTTTACAATCTGGATTTTCCAATTACAAAATTAAAAATATATGACAAGGGCCAGTAGCTGTGATCCTGGTACTTGAGAGACTGGGACAGGAGAGCTACAAGTCTGGTCTAGGTGTGCAGATCAGCAGTACAGCACATGTGCAAGGCCCTTGATTCAACCAGTGGCATCAAAAAAGATGCAGTTTATTTATCTACATTATCTTGTTTCTTTTGTTAATTTAGATTTTAAATTGAACCACTCTCTTCCCATGATAATGTAACTCTTCTGAAAGGAGGTCTATAAAGATCTAGTTTTCTTTCAAAATTGCTACCTTGTTATCACAGCCATTTATTGTAGAGTCCTATTTCCCCTCTGAGTTGAAAAGCCATCCAGTAAGAGAATAAGTTCTGTTTCCATCCATGTTTTTAGATCATTTTGTACAAAAGAAAGTCTGTGAATATATATATGAAATTTAATGATGTACTTAGCTTTGAAAGTGGTTTTCTATTCCCAAAGAGATAATGATGATGGTGGTAGTGGTGGTGGTGAGGGTAATAGTAATTATGATAAACACATAAATGAGAATAAAGCAAAATAAAATAGTCCTTTATTTTCCCATGTTTTTATTTTTTTAGTAGTGTATTTCTAGAATGTTCTTCATTTTACTAAGAGGGAGAATGGTGGAGGGCTGAGAATCAAAAACATAAGATAGGAGGACATGCCTTCATAGAGGGCTTTATTAATTATAAGAACTTTGATTCTAGAGAAAATTGGAAGTCTTTGGAAAGTTTTAATTTAAAAGTAACATAACCTTTTTAATCTAATTTATCTCTTTTATTCATAAGCTTTCCTTTGTTATGTCAGAATTCCTGAGAAAATTAACTTAAGAAAATTAACATGCCCACCTCGTGTCTCCTGGAACAGAGAGGAAGATACACATTTATGGGGAGGGGGGGGTGCAGAAGCCCAGAGGGCTTCCTTGTGGTGGTAAGTAACCCACTTTCACCCACTAGGCCTGCCTCTTAAAGTTTCCAATTGCATGGTAAGCTATGAACTCAACAGTGGATTATCTATTGGTGATATTAAAGTGAATCACCTCCTAAAGGCTCTACTGTTGAGCACTGCTACATTGAGGCCAAGCCTTCAACACATGAACTTTTGGGAAACATTTCAGATCCAAATGGTAACATTCCTTAAAATACCTTCTATAGCTGTTACTATAGTGTCATTTGGAGAAGCAAGGATGGAAAGTTTAGAGCTCACTAAGGGATGCTTTTCCAGTGCTACCAGAAAGAGATGGTGGTGGTTTGGATTGGGGTGGTAGACATGGAAGTGGTGAGCGAAAATTCCTGTGTGTTTTGAAGGTGGAGACGGCAGGATTTACTGATGGATCAGATGTGGACTGTGAGAGAAGAAGAGTCCAGGATGATTCCAAGGTTTGTTTGGCTTGGGCAACAGGAAAGATGGAGGGACCATTTACTGAGATGGGAAAAGCTGCAGAAGGAGCGATACCTACAAAGATCGGTGTGGGACATTTCTAGACGTCCATAATGAACATGCAAGTGGGATTACAAACTAGGTGTTTCGATGCATGATATGGAGTTCTGGGATTGCAGATAAAAATCCAGCAATATTTGGTGAAAAGATATTTATAGCCACAATGCAAGAGGAACCAGCCCTGGGTCTTGGTAGCACTGAGAAGAAGAGTCATCAAAGAGGACTGAAAAGGAAGTGGGAATGGAAAAATCTACAAGGGCTTTTGTTTTGGATGTCAGGGAATGAACCATCAAGGAGGTGTCGGGCCTGTTCAGAGACGTTGATAATGAAATAATCCAGATGATCACTGAGACTCTAACCACTTAGCAAACACAGCGGTCATTAATACACATGACAAGAATAGCTCAGTGGATTGGTGGGAGTGATGGCCTGTGGATCACATCAGTACAGTGAAAGGAGAAGATACAAAGGCAGCAAATGCAGCCGTGGGGGGGGGGGGGGCCAGAAGTGGGAACGAAAAGGGAGGTGTGGCTAAGAAGAAACTAGAGTGGTTGTTTCAGTGGGCAGCGGTTTAGTAGGAAAGAAAGACAGCATTTAAGAGAGATGGCTGCTAGAATAATTTCTTTGAGTGGATGGAAAGATTGGGAATTAAGTGCAGCTATGAGTGCCAGTTGTGAGCACAGATGGTTTACTCTTTAAAACTTGAGACAAGGCATAGAACATAGGCTTATCTACCTGTAGATAAGAAGGTAGATTAGGTGAGATTTCACACCATTTTATATCGTTTGCTTAGTGAAATCTGAAGCAAGATCATCTATTGAGAGTGATGATGGAAAACAGGAAGTTTAGAGATTTTATCAAGAAAGAAGGTTATACACATTGTGAAAAAGAAACAGTTTCAGGCTGTACTAAAGACTGCTAGAATAGTAGGTGTATTAGTTACTTTTCTGTTGCTGTGATAAAATGCCATGACCAAGTCAGCTTATAACAGGAAGAGTTTATTTTAGCTTATGATTCCAGAAGGATCAGAGCCCACTGTATTGGGGAGGCATGGTGGCTGAGGTGACCAGAGCAGAAACTGAGGGCTCATGTCTCTAAGCATGCACAGGAAGCAGAGAGCAAAACAGGAAGTGAAACAGGCTATGAACTCTTAAAGCCTGCCACAGTGATATGTCTCCTCCAGGTAGACCTCCCCGCTTAAAGGTTCCATGACCTGCCCCAGACAGCACCACTAACCTCCAAGTGTTCAAATACTAAACCACCACAGTGACCATGAATTTAAAGTCAGCCTATCATTGTGTTTTCCCTGTCATTGTAGACTTCATGGCTACAAATAGTGAAAATAGACTTTAAAATGAGTTGTCCATAATCGGGATTTTCCTAGTTGTGAATACAACGGGAAGGAATGGCACTGAAGGTGAAGGGAACACTTGCAAAGAGATGATAGGATGTAAGCTGGGAAGGAACAAAGACGTTGACAAGGTGTTAGCTTCGGCATAACTAGGTTGTCTTGAGTCCAAAAGTTCTTACAGTTGGAGTATTAGGTAGTGTAATCTGGTAGCGTGGAAGGTGGGGCAGCCTGGTAAAAAACTGCTGCAACTGCTGACATTGACATTGTTATTTTAGTTAACACTGACACATTTGGTGTCTAGTATTTCTAATTCTCTGTTTCACAATGCTGTAATCTTTGTCACTAGAATTGACAGCTCCAGTTTTCCATGTGCCACTTTTTATAAACTATTTAGATAAGCATGGAATCCTCTGAATAGAAACTGAAAGAATGATGAAGCAAGGTTTGACAGTGTGATAGCAGGAGATGGGTCTTAAGACTAGGTAGCTGGCTTGGTTCAGGGCTTAAAGTGCTTTCTGGGCAAAGCATGAAGAAGAGATTAGATCCCCAGAAACCACGTAAAAGCTGGATGGGTGTGCTAGCCTTTCGGTAACTCCAGCACTCAGAAGGCAGACCGTGGCTCCTGGAGCAAGCTGGTAGCTAGATGTTTGAATCAGTGAGCTCTGGTTCAGTTGAGAGATCCTGCTTCAAATAATGTGATGAAATGTCATCAAGAAAGACTCTTGTCAATCTTGGGTCTCTGCGTGCACACACATGCCCACGGACCTGCACACACGTGAACATGTATACATGCGTGCACACCATGCACTTACATGAGAAAAAAAGAGAAAATGAATCTTTGTCCACTAATGACTGGGTTAATTGCCAAGGCAGCAGTTTGATTCCTGAATATGTCTTAAAGATGGCAAATAATCTTTGGTAACTATTGATGTCTTCTATGAGTATTGATCATGTGTACTTTCTGCAACAGAGGAATGAGGATGAGACTGCCTTGAATCAGTTTTCATGTTTATTCGCGAAATATTATGCAAAACAGCCTAAAACTCATAAAATAGTCTAGATTTTTCTAATACTTCCATTTTCCCCCCTATATTTTACTTTATTTTATTTTATTGCATCATTGTATTTTAAAGAATAAGCTCTTAGGCTAATTTGTTATGCTGTTTTTCATAATAACTGCCTATGGTTGTTATTGTTACTATCTTCTGTTTTATTTTACTTTTTACCATGAAAAATTTTCAGAATACAGGGAAGTAGAAAAATGGTGTGCTGAGGTCTAATATTTTATTATAAATATTTTTGTGGAACAGTTTAAAATATAAATTCCATAGCACTTTATCCCTTATCAAAATAAATATAATAGTTTTCCTAATATCGAGTAGTCAATATTAAAATGTCCTCATTTAGGTCTGGCAATATGGAGAGAGGTTGTGGTAGAGGGTTCTATTGTGCTTAAGGCCCTGTGTTTGATTTCAAGCACTGAAAAATAAATGAAAATAAATATTCCTTAGTTTTCTAAAATTTCTCTTTTATGGCTTTTTCGTTTTCAACACAGAAACCAGATAAAGAACATGTCTTCAGAGGCTGTGGTTGTAGTTCAGTTGGTAGAGTGCTTGTCTAGTATGTACGAAGCCTTGGATTCCATCGCCAGCACTGCATAAACCAGTTTAGTGATGCGCACTGTAATCTCAGTGCTTGGGATGCGGAGGCAGGAGGATCAAGGCCATCCTCATCTACATATCAAATTTGAGGCTAGTCTGGGATACATGAGACCCTGTGTCAAAAATAAAACAACAGCTAGCTAGATGGCTCAGTGAGTAGGTTAAGGTGCTTGCCACCAAGACTAATCACATAAGTACCATCCTAAGACCCACGTGGTAGAAAGAGAGAACTAACTCCTGCAAGTTATCCACATCCATACATGCTTCATGGCCTTTGTGTGCACATGTGCCTGCATATATACATAGATATACACATACAGATACATAACTGTAATTTAAAAATATATATATAAAACATGCCTTTTGGTACGTTTTTACATCTTCAGTGTCTTGTTATTTAGAACAGTACCTCCCTATGCAGTTCATTCTTTCAGGAACATTCCTCATCATTATGAAAATTTTTCATTTATGTCTTAGTCAGAACCAGTGGCTTCTGGGTTTTCCAGCACCCACATGGCAGCTAATAACTGTCCATAACTCCAGTTCCAGGGGATCTAACACCCTCTTGTGACCTCTGCAGGCATTGACAACATGGGATCCACTACACTCATACACATAAAAAATAAAATGTTTTTAAATGATAGTAAATAACTGATTTGGTTTGCTGAAGTACTAGAAAGCTAAAATTGCAGTTAATTTCTTGTTAAAGAGAAAATTAATATTGGTACGTTTTTGTATGTTTGATTTGTTTGAGGTGTTGATTTCATTTTTTTACATTGTCATAAGTAACAAACACTTTTTTTCCTTTTGTACATAATTCTGTGAGTTTTGACACATGTATACATTGCTCTACTCAGCATCATAATTATTCAGTCTGCTACTCTAGCAAACAACTGCTTACTATCATTCCTAGCTACTCATCACCCGTCTATAACCCCTGGCAACCAGTTCTTTCATATTACAGGGTTTTTTTGTTTTGTTTTGTTTTGTTTTGTTTTGTTTTGTTTGTGTGTGTGTGTGTGTGTGTGTGTCGCATATAGACAAAGCCATGTGTTGTATAACCTTTTGAAGCTGGTCTTGAAATTCAGTCATTGTAATGCCTTTGAGATCTACAAGTGTTGAATTTATTAGTAGTTCTTTCTTTATTGCTGAGTAGCATTCCATTATGAGGATTCAACACTGTTTATTCAGTTCATCTATTGTGGGGGCTTTGGGAGACTTTCTAACTGCAGGAATGAACACAGGTTCTGCAAAGATTTGTGGACAGGTTTTTAATGAATAGCAGTCTTCATTTTTGGAGTCAGATTGCCATATAACATGATATGGGTATATGTTTAGCTTTGTAAGAAAACTGCCAAATTGTTTTCCAGAGTAATTATACTATTTTGCATTCCTGTCATCTGTATATAAGGTACACCTGCTATGAATCTTTGCTAGTAATTGATGCTGTCAACTCTAAAAAAAGAAAATTTATCAACTCTAATAGGAGTGTAGCAGTACCGTAGTTTTAATGTTCGTTTCAGAAATTACTTCTGATATTGAGCATCTTTTAAGGTGTTTTTATGCATCTTTCTGTCCTCCGGTGAGATGCTTGTGTCTTTGCCCAGTTTTCACTAACTTGTTTTCTTACCAGTCTGAGAGCTTTTATGTGTATTGTTGATACAGGACTTTTGCCAGATGTATGTTTTGCTAGTGTTTCCTTTTCTTCTGTAGTTTGTGTTTCCTCTCTCTTAAATAACTTTACAGAGTGAAAGTTTGTGATTCTCATGAAGACAATTTAATCAACCTGTAGTTGATGCCATGTTTAAGAATTTTTGTTTAACCCTGGATCATAGCATTTCCTTCCATGCATTCTCTACTAGGGTGTTTTGTCGTGATAATGGTTTGTTGTTAGTATAGTTTTACATTTCACATTTACATAATAGTT